GGAGGCCATCGCTCTTAGGGTGGAGGCCATCGCTATTAGGTTGGAGGCCATCGCTAGTACGTTGGAGGCCATCGCTCTTAGGGTGGAGGCCTTCGCTAGTAGGGTGGAGGCCATCGCTTTTAGGGTGGAGGCCTTCGCTAGTAGGGTGGAGGTCCAGGTCATCGCTCTTAGGGTTGTAGGTTGTATATTTCTTGGACGTGTCCTCCTACTTCTCTGGGCCCCCCGGACGGCGCGCCATGGAGGCCGTTGCCATCGAAGTGTTTGTGCGGCATTTCGGTGGCCTCCGGTCATGTTTTAAAAACGTGAAGGAAGGAAGATCCTTTGAAGTCACCGTACTGGATGATACATACCTGACTGGTTTGCCCAAGTTCGTCACAGTTTCGTCGGGTTTGCATGGTTAGATATTGGCAAAGAAGTGGTTAGATATTAGCTACTAGTAACAAGTGCATCGCTTCTAGTAACAAGTGCCTTACTAGTAGTAACAAGAAGCTACTAGTAGCTAGAAGTGATCCACTGAAATGCGGTGGAGAAAAAAACCTTGAGAGTCCCGGACAGTGATCATTAGCTCCTCACCCGGCTGCCAGTCGACAATCTCCTGCACGGGGAAAACACGGTGATGAAACGCATTAGTAAAAGACTCAGACCAAGTTCGTGCAATGTGAATGCGAAACATAATCATATTCTCAGTAGTCACTCGGGGACATCTCCAACAGTTGGAACGTCGGGAAATGGTGGAAACATGTGGATACCATTGAAAGCCTGTCTGCAACCTTGGCTTAAAACCTCCTGGAACTTCCACAAACCTGCAGGAGCAGGCAGAGGTTGCAGTGGTAAGTTGGAAGGTGGTGTTCCCAAGCAGAAGAGTTTACCAACCCATTGCAACTTTCCGCATGTTGCACAGCTTTTTGAGTCAAATCTTAGACCGCAACTCCACGGCTCCCCTCGCCGAACCAGACCCCTCTCTCCGATAGCGATGGCCTCCAACCTGATTGCGATGACCGAATAGCGTCCGATCGCTCCCGTTCGTAGCGATGCCCGAAATGCTCCGTTCGGTTCGCGTCCTTGCTCCCTTCGTAGTAAGGCCAGGAGCCCCGTTCGTCGCGTCCGATCGCTCCGTTTGGAGGCACTTTGGGCGACGTTCGTCCTGTAGGATGATCTTCATGTCGCCCTTCTTCGCCGTCTCCGCCAAGCGGGTCCACACCTGGCGCGCGGCGCCCTGGTGCCGCTCAGAGAGACAAACACCCCCCTTGGGGGAGAAGAGTGCACGTTCACGACGAGAAGGAGGTGCTTCTTCTTTTTTCCGGCTTTGGTGAGGAGGAGGTCCTCCAAAATCGAGACTTCCAAGGAGGAGGGTGTTCAAGATGCTCAAGAAGTGCCAAAACTATGCATGTTTTATTAGGAGTACCGACCCTCCCTTAGCTTCCCTGCCTTCAAGCGAGGCTTGCCATGGATGTCCATGGTGCCAATCTGAGAGCCCATCGCAGTGGCGCTGGCTTTGGGAGCGTCATCCACATGTCGGACTCTGGGGTCTCTCTCAAGAAGCCTGCTACTCTCACCAGTGAAAGCAATCAAGAAGTCAAACTCATATGTCAAGAAGGCTTCTGTCCAAAATGAGGAGAGACCCACCCCAACCCTTGCCGTTTCGTTCAAAGTCAACGTTCCCTTTGCATTCATTTACTCAGGGGCCCCTGCATTGCCCTCCTCGATGGCGTTGTCCCCACCCTCACGAATGGTGAACCTGGTGGCGCGCAATCTCCGTGCAGGTCTGGAGGCCCAAGAATTCAGAGCCTCCTTTCACGTGAAGGGTGCTTCGTAGCTTCTTCAAAGAAACTGACTTAAGGTCGTCTGCTGGAGAAAAACACCCTAGTTAGATGTAATCACCACAGTAGGTGAAGGATCTCTGGCATCCGCCACCCCCAACAAAATTCTTTCTCAGAAGCATTCGCCCGAAAGACCTCATGGCGCACCCCACCCGTTCTTCGATGTTCACCATGTTTCCGCGCTTGGACGTGCGCTTGGGAGCCCCGCTGGGTGTTGGAGACGGCCAGAACTTTCCCGCCAATCACCGGCCTGGGAGAAAAGCAGGCACGGTGGATGCTCGCATCTGACCGCGCGAGAAGGGCGAGCAGGCTGTGCTTCAGTGAGATGCCTGACTGGCTTGACGTTGTTGATAGCTGACTTGAGTAGCTTACTTAGTGTCTGACAGGTTCATTCCCATACAGCAGTGGCTGAGAAAGGGAAGGTTGGAGAGGACATCTCTGCTGCGGGGTTGTTGTTTGCAGAATGATCAGCTCCAGCATGGAAAGCTGTGCTGACCTTAAACTGTTGTTGCTTAGAGTTGAGTGCAGCCCGCGTGAGGTTGAAACCTGGTTGAGCCTGCCAGTAATCATATATGCTTGCCTCAAAGCTTAAGCATTGCATGCTCAGTATAAGCATTTACACGGCGAATGGCTCATTGCAGTTATCATTTATTTGAGGTTCGCTGCTACATGGATAACTGTAGCAATTCTAGAGCTAATGCCCGCGTCCAAGCCCCACTTTGCAGAAGGGTTGTGAGTCAGTTGTGAGTATTAGATACGGAACCAACCCAGGCTCTGCCTGGTGGTGATTCATGGTAGCTCAACGAATCGCGCGGCTCTGCGTCATTCAAGTGTCTGACCTTTCAGCTTCCGAGGTCGACGTCTTTGCAGAGTGTGCTTCTCTTTTTGAAGCAGACAGGGAGATGGGGAGAGAGATGGAGAGAGAGGAGATGAGGAG